GGCTGGCAGGAAAGTTGACATTTTAAACCTTAATTAAAAATCGATACAGGGCTTTAGAATATCGATACCGTATTGGGAAATGAAATATCGCGATATTTCAGTGTATCGACATTTTCTTACACCCCTACTAGTTTATGGTGCTGTTTAACTAAAACACTAGTTTGAAAGTGGAAGAGCAGCTCATTTAAATGTAGCAACTTCTTTTTAGTCACTCATAGAAAAACATGAAACAATCCAAGCAAAAGTATGATTTTAATACAGATTCAAGAGGGTATTAAACTTTATTATATAAAAGTCAAATTAAACAATAAGTCTGAGKGAGTATTTTATAAACAGAGGCTGCATTAAAATAATAATCATTAAGTGCTTTTTATATGTGTCTCAGTTRAACAGCAACAAGTGCACAAACTGTACACTTACTTTATTTAAAAAGTTATAAATACAACTTGTTTGTCCATCTGAAATCATTTTATTAGCCTCTAAGACAGACTCCAGCAGATGAAGGGTACTTTTCAGATTTTATAGCACCTCTTCATTATTTAGGTATTAGGTTGGTAGTTTTCTGTTTTATGTAGTAAAAYATGCTGAATATTCAGTGATAAAGTGTCTGAGCTCTGTTCTTACACTACAGAGAACATAACAAACTCTTAAAGTCATTCCTCTGAGGCTAAAGCTTCTGTTGCTGAGACTTTACCATGTAAAAGCTGATGTGATGCTGTACCTTGAAGCTGTCCTCGTGTGTCCTTTCACCAGCTCTCTACAGTAAACTTTAGACGTTGTGCGTTCTGGGACCTGGCAGATAAAAACATAAAGAGTGAGCAGCTGAAAACTGAGGTAAACAAGACGAAAGAATCAGCTTTAATCAGGAACATGAGCTGTGCATGTAGCTCAGCAGGGTCCCAGGAAAGAATTACACTCCTTTAAAACCTGAACATTTAACAAACATGATGGTCGGAACAGAAGTAATAACATGGAGAAAACCCACACATGCACAGAGAGAACATGCAAACTCTCTGACAACCTTGTTGCTGAGAGGCCTCAGCTCTACACACTGAGCCCCACAATCCTTCTGCTTTCATAGAAAAAAGTCTTTTTAAGTTCCTCAATGACATACTGTGACATGTGATCTTTATTTATTTTAATAAAAATGTTTTTCAACGTTTCTTTCTTTTCAAACTCGTTACTTAAACAAGTGGAAACCTTCTGACCACACATTTCCTGGTTCAAACGACCCAGTCCCACAGAGGAACAGACACCTGACAACAGGAAGAGCTGTGATACCTGCCATTCTTCTCATGAGGTGCCCACATCCTGCACACACACACACACACACACACACACACACACACACNGTCCTGACCTGTAGATGAGTGTAAACTGCAGAGTCCTGACCTGTAGATGAGTGTAAACTGCAGAGTCCTGACCTGTAGATGAGTGTAAACTGCAGACTCCTGACCTGATGATGTAGCTCGTCTGTGTTGGCTCATTCTTTTGAACAGTGGCTGTTTTGTTTCTCCAGTATATAACTGATCACAGTCCTCCTGACTCTTAACAGCATACACTATATTACTCTGTTTTTGTCGGGGAACTGGYTCTTTGTCGTAACGTGTTTTGGGGTTTGAAAGCCTCTGGGACGTTGTGTTTAGAGAATAAACGTCTCAGTTTCTCTGAAACTCACGCCACATATGGAATGACGACGGGTTTGGGTCTGGGTTTAGGTTTAGTTGATTAGCCCTGTCTGTCTGGAGTTCTGTCTCTCTACAAGCACCAGTCTCAGATTCAGTCTTGGATCTGGTTCTGAGTCATGAGTCGAGCCCTGCAGCAGTGGTCTGATTCTGACCGACCCACATGTCTCAGGTGGAACGGACCACAACACGCTGACAAGGCCTTTCTCTCCTCTGAGGGAGGAGGTGGGGAGCAGGGGGCTACCCCAGCAGCTCCTCTGGGTTATTTTCAGAAAAATCCAGGGTGCTGTTGTCATGGCAACAAGCAGCTTTTGCCTGGAGTCCTGATCTTGATGATGACGTTCAGGCAGCCAGTTAAAGTCTGTTCTATTTCTGCGAGCAGGTGATGAAAYCATCACAGCTCTCCTCTTCCTCCTGCGTCAGCAGCCGTTTGGAAGAAAATCTCCTTTTTTCCTTTTCCACACTGTGAGAGCAGACAGGACAGWCAGAGGTCCACTCTGTAACACTGATCAGAACCATGATCAGTGTTACAGACTGATCATTGATCATGATCAGACCAACAATCTGTCCTGGGCCTGACTGTTGAACAGTGGGAGGGTCCTCCACCTCAGATAGAGCAGGACCTCATGAACAGGGTCTCTGTAGACCACTGAAACCTCTCTGACTGAAATATGGTCAATATAAAAATCATTTCTTTATTTAACTTTTATACTTTCTTCTCTTCTTTCTCTGCTTTACATCTTTAATCTCCTCTTCTTCTCTTTTTAATGTTTTTACTTTTCACATCAGATGATGTATATTCAGCTTCCAGCAGATAGTCTTTCTGTTTAACCTGTAAAATGTTTTGTTTTCTCTCATGTTTGCTGAGTTTATCTCAGTTTATCTCAGAGTTTCTCTCAGTTTATCTCAGAGTTTCTCTCAGTTTCTCTCAGAGTTTCTCTCAGAGCAGACCTGCTCCTCCTGTCATTCTGACTGAATCCTGTGAGCACGGCTCCATAAAGTCCTGAATTCTCCGACTCATCTCTGTTATGTCGTGTCACGGTGTTGACAGCCACCGGTGGTTGTGATTGGACGGTGGACGAGTCGGGCTCTCCTCACATCCCTCGTTTCCCAGACGTCTTTGCAACAGATGGAGGTTTGATTAATGAGAGGATGTTCCAATTAATGGCCCCTGATGGCCCTTTGCCCTCTATCATGTTTCAATTAAACAGAGCTGTGGAAGCAGAGCGCAGTAATTCATTAAGAGGAGCTGTGACGAGTGCAGGCAGCAGAGAGGAGGAACATTTGGTTTGTCAGGTTASTGTGACACCTGCAGAAGGTGGACTGTTCAAAGTTCCAGCTCTGTCACAGCTGAAGTCAAACTAACAGACTTCAGGTGTGTAACAGGAAGAGTTTCTTCTGTCCACATGGATGAAGTGCTGCACAGGTCCTGTTTATGACTGAAACAGTAAAAACTTCCTGTTATCACTCTTTGGACACATCGTGGCACTAAGGAGARCAGTCTGTCAGGAATCTGGGCTCCTGTGAGACTTATTCTAAGGCCCTGCTCAGATCTGACKCTTGTGTTTGAGGTGAATCAGCTGAAAGTGGATCTGATTGATTCAGTTCTGAACCAGAACTTTAGATCAGTTTCACATGAATGATTTAGATCACTCAAATTAGAGTTGTTGAAAAATGTTTTCCTGACTCTGACAGATTATTATTTTATATCACGGGAAGATGAAAACATGTTTAATTTGTCTAAAAGGTATTAGATCATGAAATCATTGCTAATATTCAACTCTCATGGATTTACCATTAATGAGAGAGTTAAAATGGTAATATCTTGATTTTATATAAAAAAAAGTGCTCTTAAGGCTCAGATAGGGTTTAACTCTTGTTGAAGATATTTAAGGCTGAACTCTGGATGACTTCATCACTTCACAAAGGAACAGTGAGAACTTGTCACGAGGTTTCCCACTCTGTCAGATGCTGGGCTGTGAAATGTCACAGATATATTCAACATTTTTTTAATAGCGTTAGTGAAAACAGCTTGAGAGTAATGAGTCTGTAAAGTCATTTAATTAATTTAATTCTAAGAACAGCTTCTTATCTGCATCCTGACTGAGTGAACTCATTAAACATCAACACCTCTGCTCTGATGAGGAAACCTTCTGCTGTCTGAGAGGATGAGGAGCCCAGATAGATCCATGAGTTTCACCTGTAAGCTCCTCCTCCTCCACACACACACACACACACACACACACACACACACACACACACACACACACACACACACAC